GCGAATTTGACTTATTGCCGAATTATCAGTGCCCCCGTATATCAAAAACTAACGTATAGCCTGATGAAGACCGAAATGAATCCGTAGTTATATATTTTACTCTAAACGATCGCGCTCCAATGTGCGCAATACCCGGCTATTCACCAAATTAGTCATATTTCGGATGTAGTCGAACGCATGCACTATCGCGACATTACTATTTGTATTACCAGTCCCGATAAAGGCAATTGGCCTCGCCCGTTAGATAGTTCGGGGTTCCCAGTCAGTCACCCAACCAGGAAGCAACGATGTGTCTCGAATTTCGCTAACCTTTCGTGACTTCACAGTAGTTAAACAAACCTTAGCTAGCACACCGTTTCGCGGTCGTGGCCTTTCAGTAGAAGTCACCCAGCATTCCGTCTGAAGACCAATGCGAACGCCACGAAAACCCCGGTCAGGAGGCCCGGCATGGAGAATTGAACCGGGCCCCGAATGCGAGAAGCCAAGCGCGTAGATGCTGACGGCCACTTTCCGCTCGTGTGATAGAATCAGTACAGAAGTATCGAGTAGAACATCTTATTGAGTGTGCGGCTGTGTACATTCCGTAATGGCCGGCAAGACACACTTCCTGTTGGCACCACTGCCATTCAATTAGAAGACCAATGCCTGATACTGAAAGAACATATTTTGAACAAGATGGGCCTGAGAAAAACTTGTCCAACGCATGAAAACTCATTTTAAAACAGTTTTACAGCTCCGGCGATCCACATTTACTGATATTTAAGTCTTGAACTGGACCAAAATGAAAAGGCTTTCTCTTCGGCGCTGTGAAAATTTCCGCGCAGTCATGTTCGTTTTACCCGTCACGAATTTCCACATGGAAGAACCAGAGCGCCCGATTTGAACAGGTATAGTAAAGAAGTGAACCTTTTACGTGATTCGGCGAGCCACGCTGTAAGCTACACTATTTCCAAGGAATGCTGACACGACATCCAGTGACTGCGTTCTCTGGAGAGGAGTCTCTTCATTACGCTTGCTGCGCAGTTGCCTTTTCTGAGGCAAGCTGCCAAGGTGCTGATTGCACATTCCCTCTGAGGGCGATCTCTGCGGGTCGGAGGGGGCGGCGGGTTACCTCCGCCCCCCCTCAACCAACATTTTTTTGTCGGAATCGCGCTCAAACATATGATCCAAACAATTATCACATGCTGAATCGTCGTAATATTTCAAATTCAATTTCCCATATTGAATACAAATTATTTAATTTTGCGCTAGAACATGATGCGTGGCACCTAAGGAAGTAAATATGTCCCCTTTGGCCCTAAAATATATTACGTCCGAAAAATTAAGCATGTTAAGACAATGATTTATCTAGAGTACCGTCGACATCGACTTGCAAAACAACATGACCAGATTTAATAAAGAAACAACCACTCTAGAGACGTTAACGGCGTTGTATATTCGCTAGTAAACTTTACTGAAGCAAAAAGGGTTATCATTTCGAAAAAATATTTAGTCATTTGTTAATCTAAACACCTGGACTCTGTAAACAAATTTGAATATATTTTGTAACAAACCTTGTAAATCATTTTGCTTCATCTAGCTATTTGATCTAGCGAATATTTCAAACAAAAAATACAGCACTGCAATTTTATTTAAAATTATTTCACTCTATATTAAATTCGTGTGCTTAGAGAATAGAGAATGTTTGGGAAGTTTCAAGAAATGCTTCTCCAAAACTTGAGAACAAGCGAATTGGGGGCCGTGGCCCACTGGGTCGAAATGAACTATGCATAACCGTTCCAGGAAAAAAGGGGCCACCCCCCTTGCACGAGGATAATAGTAGGTGGACAAAGTTGTACACTCATTCAGTAGTTTTCAACAACAAGGAAACAGTCTTTCTTTTCCTCGAAGGAGAGCTACAGGGAAGAACCTCTGGAGAAGGGGCATCTGGGAAAATATGCGTAGACTCCCCAAATCAGAAACATGTGGGTCATCCTAGCGATGAGGAAATGTTTTACGTTGAGAAGCAAATGAATCACCTGGAACAAGGAAGTAAGTGCGCAAAAGGAGGGTAGAGGGTACGACCCCCAATAATTTTGAAACGAGCCCCGCGGTCCCACATAATAAAACATTTATTTCCTTAAAATAATCCCTGATTTGAGCATTTTTTATCCTGACGATTTCGGAAATTTACATTTAGAAAATAGGATTTTCAAGCCTGGCAACTATGTAAATGGTTCAATATAAAATCATTTGTAAATATAAACTTTGTCATTGAAGTTATAAATATCATTCCCCGTGTAGTACGTCTATATTTTAAGAGGAGCTCTGCAGCCCTACATAAAAAAATATTTTATTTCCGTAGTATAATCCCTGATTTTCCCCTTATTTGCCCTGATGTCCTGACTGTTTCACAATTGAAAACAGGCTTTTCAAAGCCATCTGGCAAATCTGTACATTGTTGATCTAAAATCAATTGTAATCATTGTTTATTTTATCATTTAAGTTGAATGTAATTCCTTTCGTACTTGTAACATATGCCATATGAATTGCAAAAGTGGTACAAGTTGTAATTTATTACTGCAACATGTAATTTTTAAAATGAAATACATATATTAATAATTAAATAAATAGTTCCATACAAGTATTGTATGGTATATTGTATTCTATGCGAGTTGTAGTTTATTACTACAACACGGGTGTTGTAATTTTAAAAATGAAATACATACATTAATAATTAAATAAATAATTCCATACCAGTATTTGACAAATAACTGCTGCACATAGTAGGATATAATCAAATAAATATATTAGGAAAACAGTCCAGAAGAGAGTTCATTGGCTAGATGATACTATTTTAGATTGCTTCAAAGATGATATTTAAAGTAGGTTAACGGTTTCCTAATATCGTACTCTAAACTTTGTACTTGCATGATATTAATGTTAAAATAGCGGACTGCGCATATTGCAACAATGACATATCACATCAAAACGACTACAAAACGACTACGTAGTCGTTTTGTGGCTTCCATCTAGCAGACAACTGATGATGATGGCTAAGCCATCGAAAGCTGCTATTGAATTAAAAAACATTGTCGGCAATGACAACATCTTTAATTATTTTAACTCAAGAAGAATGGGACTCCCGATAGCTTTGAATACACCATTTTGTCACAAAAGGTTTTCGTTAAAAGTGGGTCTCTGAACTCATCGTGAATCATCATTTACGTAAGACGATAATGCATTTTTCGTGGCACTTGTTGTGTCTATTGGTGTGCAACTGCTCTGTACGTTGCTGAAGTAGGCTTCTAGCGAGTAAATGACGTATAGTAGCAAGAATAGTACCTTAGAAGAAGAATGGAAATGTGATGAGGTCGTAGAACGAATTACAATGACAAAAGTGGCTTTCGTGAAGATAACAATATCGTGCTTAAAAAAAACAATATGAATTTGACAAAGACTTAAAAAGTTTCTTATCTGCAGTGCCATCCAGTAAGGAGCGGAGTCTGCGGGCGATGACGAAAATGGATGCGATTAGGATGGAAATTTTTGAAATGTGAGATTAGAGAAGGATTAAATGAACTCAAATGGTTAGAAAATTTCTACTTAATCAGTTTTCATCTTCATTTAATGAAATATTCAAAAACGTGTAAAAAAGAAGACTCAAGGTAGATAGAAAAGAAAAAAAAATCAGGAACTTGGTGGAACAATATTTTGTCATCGGTTGCTCATTTTTTGTCGGAAATTTTGAGCAAGGAAGTATTTAGAGAGTAAGAAACTATGTCTATGACTGATTGCCAACTCACCGCTCTGTGACGTCACAGGCGCCTGCTCTTCGGCTTGGTGACGAGCTGCGAAGGAAACAAACTTCCAGAATGGGGGCGAGGACACGTATTGTGTTCTCATAGCTGTGAAGAAATAACCAAAGTTGTTTTATAGTTTTTGTTTTGGAAAATTTCAAATTAGTTTTTGAAATGACAATTATTCAAAATTATTTCGACAGAATTTGACAAAGTTAACACACAAACATAAAACAATACATTATCCCACTGTTTATCTCAACCATATATATTTCTCCCCTATAATTATAACCCAACTATAATTGCGCTTCTCCCACTTTTGTTCCATTCAGTTTTTTTCTGTTTATTCAATGTAAATTAATAAACATTTCGGACGAATTTCGTAGCAAAATCGAAGAAAAGAGCGAGAGCATTGCAAGAGGTAGTGTAGAAACTATTTACTAATGAGCTAACTATTACGAATGCAATGGGTAATTAAGTATATGTTCAAAACCCACCGTTATGTTGCCAGCAGTAGCCAATCAGTACCTGTCAAAGAGGCCCCTTCTTGTAAAAATCTCTCAATACCCCATTTCCTCATACACATCAGCAAGAGCCCATATTACAAAAATATATCAACAACGCCCATTTTCCGAGAATTAATCCTTTCCCACCATCACATCCTCAGAAACCCGCCCCGACAGACCCGTAGAAAGCATTTCCTAGATATTCTCCAACTTCCCCTTCCTATAACTCTGATCGGCAGTGATTTTGTTAAATGGTTAACTGTAGTTGTTTCATATATAATATACTACACTAAGAACGAATACAACCACAAAAGTTGCCCACCGGTCTCAGTTTGTTCGTAATCGCACATATTCTAAAACGATATAAATATTTCACAGCTAGCCACGCAATGTTTATGATGAATGCTAGTTGTTTGTAGGTTTATTACAAGGTAGTGGTCGTCAACATTGTATGATATTGTCGATTCCACAAAATATATGCAATAGACGCCAGACCGATCAAATCAGTTGAGCAACTTCAGGAATTGTGAAGTGCAGTGACACGTTAGTTGCCCCCAGCATATCGAGGTACAAAGGAGTTGAATTTACTCTATAGTGCACGACTCGTTTTCACATTGCCTTTAAGTAGTATTTTTTACACAATCAGATTCCATAAAATGCCGTGACAGTGTGTAAATCAAACCAAATAATTTTTGTTATGTGTAGGACGAGGTAACTTTGAAAAACCGAAGATATGAATTGTAATTTGGATGTCTAACCGCTGATTAGGACAAATTGTATACCACTCATACTTGCTGTACATATTATGTATTATTACTTAGGGGTTGGCTTAAGGGAAATTCCATTGATGTATGCCATTTGTAATTCCAATGGAATGGAGAGAATCGAAGGCCTCACACCACGGACTGTTATTACAAAAGTTCTGAAATCCAAAGCAAGTCCAAGAAGTTCATTAAATGTCGCAACCTCCCTTCAGCTGTACAGCCTGTTCCTCACAGCAGTGACGTTTTCCAAACGCCACCGGACCATTAGAGTTTACATTCCGACAACTCGCGATGAAGATTTAAACTAAGTCCCGAAAAGAACGACATTGAAGACCCAGATTTCGGTAGAACGTTTACAGAACCTCGTAGAATCAATTAATCAGAACAGTGATCTAGTTTGTGATCTAAACTTGTCAAAGAAACAGGCAGAATTGTTGGCGTCCCGATTAAAGGGTTGGAATCTCCTTTGGAAGAGAACTACAATTACGGTGTATCGTTGACAGGAATAAGACGCCCGATGCCCATTCTTAGAAGGCAGTCTAGTGTATTGTACTGATACTGCATAACTGAGTGAGTTAGGAGACCAGAATGGAGGTTGTTTATAGATCCTCTGAACACATTGTAAAATCCGTGATTCATATTGGAAATGAGAAACCAGCGATTCCTCTTGCCTATTCAGTCCTATGAAACGTATGAGATCATGAAACTTGTTATCATAAATACAATACCAACAGCTTTCGGGAAATGTAGGCAGCGATTTGAAAGTTATCGCACTTTTGCTAGATCTCCAATAAGTTTACACTGAATTTTGCAGTTTCTATGCAATTAGGATAGCAGGTCGCAAAAATCATTTTGTGAAGAAGCCCTGATCTCAGTGACATCTGGTACCTGGACAAAAAATGTAACTTCGCAACCACTTGTAAATCTTGCATACGTATATCGTCCTCCCTTGTACATCAAACTCGGATTGATGAAAAGTTTGTGAAAGAAATGGATAAAAATGAGCCACGTTTCCTTTATTGAAAGAACATATTCCCGAGTATCTGTAAGGAGAAAATAAATAAGGGTATTTTTTGTGGTATCACAAATAAACAATATTATAAAAAATCATGACTTTCAGGCAAGTTAGAATGGTGTTTTTAAGGCTGCATGGACGTGGCTTCAAAAGGTCGTAACTGAACTCCTTTGTAACAGAAAAGCTGCGAACTTCAAAGAACTAGTGTCCGAACTCTTTCACAATTACAAAGCTCTTGGGATGTAACATGTTTCTCAAAATATATTTTCTGGATTCACACGTAGGTTTCTTTCTTGAAAATCTCAGCTCTTTGAGTTACGAACACAGTGAGCGATTTCACGAAGACAATGCAGCAGTGGAAAAACGCCAGGGAAAATAAAATCGAAATATGCTTGCTGCAGACTATGCTGGGCACTGACAACGGATGTTCCTCAAGCGAAACACTGTATACAATCGTTCGAAATTACATTTTGATTGACAATATTATAGGCAAGGAAAGTAAATCAATTTAAAATAGTATGGACTTTTTAAGTGATTAATACAAAGGTATCTTGCTCGTAACAGATATATGCTCTACAAATTTGAGAGCATCGTAGGCCAGACAAAGTAGCCGTGCTATTCCATTTAACAGACAAAAGTTACATTTTGCCGATCAGAGTAATCTAAGCCAGAGGGCAAAGACACCTACAAATGAAACAAACGACAACCACTTACTACTATTAGTCCGACCCAACTAGATAAAAGACATCGCTGACAACAGCTTTCCGACGCTTTCTTTCCCTACCCCTTTTATCACCCTTCCTACTACCACCCTAGCCCACCCTCACCCATCACTATCCCTTCCCTTCCCCATCTTCGACACCCAAGCACACTAAACAAAATAAGCCTTCGTTCCCTTGACAAAATAGCCCTCCTACCCACTTCCAAGACTCCCGATTCCCGTCTCTGTAGGAGCGAGAGAAGTCAAGAAACTTGCTAACAACAATAACAATGAAGACTTGACAACCACCAAGATCGAAGACATCCCTCAAGGAGTCAGGCGAACGCCATTAACAACTCAGTACTGGCAGCGGCTTATGCCGACTGTATCCTGCAGCGAACTTTTCCTAAGCGGTTTACCTTCCTCCCGAAAATGGCATAAGTACGGATGAACGTTTTGATACATAGCACATTTTTCGGTATCAAGGGCCTACAATTTCTGAAATCTGACTACGTATCATGTTGAAAGACTAATTTACTACATATTAGAACAGGATTTATCCACATTTTCTGTATCAGGGCCTCACAATACGAGTTTTCGTGTCGAATAATCGCTGTTTTTGCCGCAGCATCACATAACTTTCTCTGTTCTACGTATATTACTCCGAATATGCGTACGTAAACAAGAAAGTAAAAATTACTTGTATTAAGAGGATGGGAAGATGAGACGCGATAAGGAGAATGCAACTTCGAGGGGTGACCAACTTTAAAGGCCGTGGGGAGCAGATCCAAAACCGAATTGTGGTTACAGGCCTTATTTTCATTAGCCGGGTGATCCACTCAACTTTTTGTTGATATCGGCAGTTTGACCGGCTGTTCTGAAACGGGGAGGGGGATATAAACCATGATGATTTGAATTTATGGATTTATCAACAAAATGTGCTTATACTCATATATAAACCTGGCGAACTCCGTTTTAGACCAACTTTAGAGAGATTGGAAGAAAGCAAAGAAAAAAAGAAGAATTGCGGCTACTAAAACCTTAGGAGAAGAAATGAGTTGCAGGACTGAGCTTTCCTAAGAAACTTATAAGGTCAATGATACTTGAGTTGACGAAATAAACATGTGTTAATTTCCCAGAAATCTGGCTCAGATTTTTCTCTGGATTTTCCTTGAGAATATGCCTTATCTAATCGAACGAAAGGAGAGAGAGAGAACTAATTAATTCTTTCACTGTTTCTTTCTTTTCATCTGACGGGGGTTACCCGTCACAAGGACGGCTGTGATTATCTTATCACTGAAAATGGGTTCATAAATATTAAGAAACGGAACTGAGACTTCTTCTGTTGAATTGTGTTGAAAATCTCTGAAGGGTGTTTATACTGTTCTCTAGGGAACATTGTATGCCACTCTAGGAAAAGTGACAGTGATACTTCTGAACTACAACAGAAATACTTTCAATAACCAGTGTTTCATTTATATTTCACGGTAAGTACACATTTACGGTTAACAAATTGAATTCATTGGTGATGCTGTTTTTACAATGCCCTTTTGGGAAATTCAAAACTTTGACTCCGAGTCAAATTGTTTAATTAGGGTGCGGGTCAACAAATTCGAACAGTCTTCTATAATCATGTGGCGGCGATGGTGTGACGGTTAGCGTACCGGACTGTTGTACCCAAGTTGGCGGGTTCAAACCCGATCGAAGACGTGTATTTTTAAGGGCGAAAAAATCCTTCGTACGCCTTCCTTCGGAGGGGAAGTAAAGCCGGCTGTCCCATGTTAGTAGATTTACTTGCATGTAAAAGATCCTCAAGCCTAAATGACGCCTCTGAGCCAAATTCAAAATCGCCTGTTTCTCGCCCAAGAAATATCTCCTTTCTCTGCTACTTGGTGAAGGGAGCGTAGCGAAATTTGCGTGGTCAGACGGAAGAGCAGGCCTAATGGCCTGAGTCTCGCCACGTTAAAATAAGGCATTAATTCAATTCTTCTAGATTTTGCACCAGGAATGTTGCAAAAGAGACATTCTCATTCCAATGAGTACAAACAACTTTTAATTCGACAAGCAGGATGTAGAGCTGGAAAGAGACCTACCTATTCGCGCATAATTTTCTTTAATGTAGTTTCAATTATTTGAATATTAATTGAATAAGTATTTCAGCATAATGTTTTATTTAGAAATACAAATTGATGACAAATACATAATCTATGATTAAAAATTCATCAAAATTAAATGAAAATATGGAATTATTATGAGACGAGAATTAATATGTGTTGGGGAGTGTTAATATTGGAGAGATGTTCTCATTAGGTAATTGCAAGTACATTGCGATAATGATATAAAACTATTTTAGATAATTGTGAAAGATGTGTGAAAACTATATATTCAAAATGTCCTAATTTAGAATTTTAGAGGGAAGACTATGAAACGTCTTGCTTTCTACGAAGTACGTACAAATTAATTTTTCTTCACTTATGAAATTATAAAGAAATTATTGAATTACATGATCTTTGCTGAATTACATTACAAATTTAGTAGAAACAGATGTTTATTTATTTACGTCAAAAACAGTTATAAAGTGTGTGTGACGTGCTATGGGCA